AAAGACAGGGGCATCCAGGGAACTGCAGCAGGATGGCACAGCCCAAGGAAAGGGGGTGGGGTTAGAGGACAATGCTGGACAGAGAAGTCAAGGCCAGACCCGCCGCCCAGCCCTGGGCACAGTGTGCACCAGGTCCACACTAAGCATTGCCATTCTTGTTTCACTATGAAAAAACACGCAGGCTGCAGTAGGCAGTTTGGACTTTATACTGAGGTCAGTTGGCTCTCAGGAGGGGAGAAAGAGAGAAAAGCGACTTGGGCCACAGTAAAGGTTGAAAAAAACCTAAGAACAGATTGTGAGCTGGAATAATCAAATGTAGGCTAAGGGGAGAGCAAGGAGCAAGGGGAGAGGCAAGGAATACGCCCAGCTCCCTGCTAGGAGTGATAGGAATGGAGTTGGAACCCTGAGATAGCAACCGTGAGGAAGCAGGGGAAGGAAGACGGTGAGCGCCTAGAACCCTGAGCCCAGAGCACTAGGCCACTGGCAGGACCAGGGAAGAGTCTAGGGTGGCAGGGGGCCTCATAGACACCTTCCCACCAGGAAAGCACCCAGAAGCAGAGATCGTCGCTGTTCTCAGCTACAGCTCAGCCCACCAGGAAGGACATGTGTCCAAAGGGGAAAGCATGCTGGACTTGGAGGTGCAGGCATTGGATAGCCCAAGATCTGGTCCAAGCAAGTGGCAACAAAGTGGTTGGCCTGAGTGAAAGCTCAGGGAAAGGGAAGAAGTGGCAGGAGACATTCAAAGAAAGAGGAGGCTCAAGGATAGTGTGCCCCATGTTGTGCTGGGGTGAGGGGTTGCAGAAGGAAGTCTGTTCCATCAAAGTCAAGGGCGTGGCAATGGTGCTGATGGCAGCCTGTCTTGGCAGACATTGTAAACCAACCCCAGAACTTTCTCCCTAAATCTTTAATATGCTTTAAAATTAATTTGAATTATATAAGTAATGTGCTAATTTTTTTTTTAAAAAACTAGAACTTTAAAGCTAAAGAAAAGTCTGCCATTCCCAGTTCCAGGAGCCTTCTCCCCTCAAAGGGAATCCCAGACAAAACTCCTCTTGTGAAACTGATTGTTATCTTCTATCCAGATCTTTCAAAAGTGATTTATAGACCCATAATATTGTTTCAGATCACACCATCCTTTCCCACCAAGTCCAGACTCAACCTCAGGATCCTTCCCAACAGAACACTTCCCAATTAGTCAGTGAGAATAAGAGAGGGTATCTCCTTGCTCTTCCGGATGTCAGGAGGGGAATTCCTCCCAGAGGTCAACAGGGCAAAAGCTGCCTTATGGTGGTGAAAAGTCTTTGCCCTAGAAACCAGCCAGGCACTGTGAGATGCCCCTGGCATTACTATCCACATTGGGGTGGCCACAGTGGGGCAGGATTGGAGGATGTAGTCCTCAAGCCAGTAGAAATAGTGCCTTATGTTCGTGTGCAGCACAAAGACGTTCTGTGTCTCCTGGTCTGTGTGAACCTCCAGCGTCCCAACCAGAGATGCTGCATAGCTCACACTAGGTGACACAGCATTTAGAGGCTGGACACTTGAACCTGGGTCAGCCTGGCAGCCAACCCAGAACTCTTCTCATCTCCAGCTTCTGCCGAGGCTCTACCCATGCCTTCTCCAGAGGTACAGGAGGCTGAAGCAAACCCAGACAAGGAGAGCCAAGTAGACATGGGGACCGAGGAGACAGGGACTGCTGCCCCACCCCGGCAGAAGTCCTGGCTGGTGCGGCACTTCTCACTGCTTCTGCGGCGGGACCGGCAGGCCCAGAAGGCCGGGCAGCTCTTCTCCGGGCTCCTGGCCCTGAACGTGGTGTTCCTGGGTGGGGCCTTCATCTGCAGCATGATCTTCAACAAGGTGGCCATCACCCTGGGCGATGTCTGGATCCTTCTGGCCGCGCTGAAAGTTCTCTCCCTCCTCTGGCTTCTCTACTACATGGCTGGTACCATCCGCCGGCCACATGCTGTGCTCTATCAGGACGCTCATGCGGGACCCATCTGGGTGCGGGGTGAGTGTCAAGGTGCTGGGTGGACAGAAAGGGGTGGGAGGGAGAGTGGCCTCCGGGAGGTGCCAATGCCTTCCCACCCTGCCAGGCTCCCTGGTGCTCTTCGGCAGCTGCACGGTCTGCCTCAACGCCTTCCGCGTGGGCTACGACGTGAGCCACATCCACTGCAAGTCTCAGCTCGAAATTGTCTTCCCTGTCATCGAAATGGTCTTCATCAGCATCCAGGTGACAAGTCGCTCCTGTCCCCAGGCCACGTGGGGACTCATCCTACACATACACCCTGTTACCTATACCATGCAGACAAACGCCAGCACATACCACACCCTTATAAATGCCCACCTCCCTGTGCCCACATCCACAGGTACCTCTGAATACCTGCATCAACTCACAAACCGTGTCTCTGAAACACGGACACCTCTAAATACAGCTGCCGGTACACACCACGTGCACGCCTGAGCACACACTCCTTTTTCAGAGCTGAAGCAACCAAGGCTCAGAGATGTTTTGCCACTGGCTCAGCACACAGCAAGAGCCAAGACTCTGACCCAGTCATCATCCATGTCTTCTGCGTAAATAGATACAAGCACCCAGGGACACACCACGGTCCCACCAGTCCCTGGGCTCAAGCCCCTCTCTCTTTCAGACCTGGGTGCTCTGGAAACACTGTAAGGACTGTGTTCAGGTCCAGACCAACTTCACGAGGTAAGATTTCTCTCCATCCCAAACCTCCTGGGGCTTTCAGAACGTACCCCGCCCTCAGCTTCCCTAGACAGGGTGGCCCTGGGGCTGTGGGCTCCTCCAGGGTATGTCCCAGGGGTGTGTCCCCTCCTAATGCCCTAATACTGGATGCACCTGGCATTGGAAGTGAGTGGTTGCCCCAGTGGCACACAGGAGCCAACCTAGCTGTGTGAGCAGAGTGTGGCACTTCCTCCAGGTGTGGCCTGATGCTAACCCTGGCCACAAACCTGCTGCTGTGGGTTCTGGCCATCACCAATGACTCCGTACACCGAGAGATCGAGGCTGAGCTCAGCGACCTTGTGGAAAAGTTCTCAGGTACAGCAAGGAGACCAGGACTTCCTTCCCCACAAACACACACACATATGCACGCACGCACACACATGCGCACGCACATGCATGCATGGGCTACACTCCCTCAAATAGGTGAGGCTCAGTGTGTCTATGCAGTGGTTCCCAACCTTTCTAATGCCGCAACCCTTTAATACAGTTCCTCATGTTGTGATGACCCCCCCAAGCATAAAATTATTTTCATTGCTACTAGCAATGAAACTTTAACTGTATTAAAGGGTCGTGGCATTAGGAAGGTTGAGAACCACTGGTCTACAGAATTGGGACAAAGTTCTAGGGGCCAGATCATGATTCAACAGAAACCACGGTTTGCTGGTGGTACGAGGTACCCATCATGCCCCCTCGGGTGCTGGCACCCTGCATCCTGTGCCAGGCATCCAGCTGGCTGTCAGCAAGCTCACCGCTGCTCCTGGCCCAGCTAGTCACTGATAAGTTTCTCAGGTACGCACCCCACCCATGCTATTTGCATTTTACTTGCAAGAAACTAAAAAGCCTTCTGGGTTGAAAGGAACATCTTCCTAATACAAATGTCTGGTACCTAGACATGTCAGGAGAGACAAAATATCTGAGCAGAAAAATCTCCCAAGATCATCCGATGTACCCCATCTCCTACCTGACAGTCCCCTCCTTAGAGGATATATCCCGTACCCTACATGAGAACATCACTCTCCACGGGACCCAGCCACACCTGTATGTGTACAACCTGCCCCACCCCAGGTGGCATCACTGTCATGCCCTGCAGCCAAGCCCTCTCAGCACACTCAGCATTCACGCACCCAATGCATCAATCATGGCACGCCTGTATACTGTGGGCATTCTGTATACCTGCTTACATTTCTCAGAAAAGCTGTATAAAGAGAGAATTTTTAGCAAGTGACATCATGGACTTTGTCATGATAAAAAAAATTCAGGGCCGGGCTCAATGTTTTACACCAGTAATCTTAGCACATTGGGAGGCTGAGATGGGAGTATCCCTTGAGACCAGTAGTTTCAGAACAGCCTGAGCAAAAGCGAGACCCCATCTCTACAAAAAAAATAGAAAAATTAGCCAGGTGTGGTGGGACACACCTGTAGTCCCAGCAACTTGGGAGGATGAGGCAGGAGGATCCCCTCAAGCCCAAGACTTTGAGGTTGCAATGACCTATGATGACACCACTGCACTCTACCTGAGGGACAGAGCAAGACTCTGTCTCAAAATTAAAAAATTAAAAATCCAAACATCATAGATTAGCAAAAGAGCAAGACATCCCATCACCTAGACGGGATAATTATTAATAACATTTTGCCATATTTGTTTCAATTTTTTCTCCAAGGTACTTAAATTATAGAAATCATGGCATTTTAATCTCAAAACATTCCAGTATGCACCTCTTTAAAACTAAGTGTATTTCCTGGCCTGTCTCATTAATGTAGGCCTGTAATCCTAGCACTTTGGGAGGCTGAGGTGGGAGGATTGCTTGAGGCCAGATTTTGGAATCCACCTAAGCAACATGGAGCAACCCTGTTTCTACAAAAAAAAAAATAGAAAATTATCCAGGCGCGGTGACATACTCAGGAGGCTGAGGCAGGAGCATCACTTGAGCCCAGGAATTTGAGATTATAGTGAGCTGTAATGACACCACTGCACTCTAGCCCAAGCAACTAAGAGAGACTCTGTCCCAAAAAACAAATAAAATAAAACAAAAAGTGTATTTCCCTACATTACTACAATGCTATTTTATTTGCTAAAAAATTCCTTATCATCCCCATCTTCTATGTCAATCTATGATATTCAACTTTCTCCAGTTAGCCCATGAAATGTCTTTATGGTTTGTTCAAACATGGAATAGATTTGGTCAAGTCCATGTCTGCTTTTTCCCAATGACATTGAGATTTGTTCCTTGTTCCTCTCTTTCCTACTTTTCCCAGATATTAAAAGTATGAACCAAAGTCTAGATTAGATGTGGGTAGACATCTTAGGCACCCACATTTCCTGGGTGCACCCATCTGAGACCCTGATATCTGATCACCCCACAGTGCGTGCTGCCAAGGCAGGTCTCTGGGTTCAGGTGTGGCAGCCCCATCCGCCATTGTAAGCTACAGGTTTTCGCTTGGGTCCAGAAAGTAATTGGTGAAGGTATTATTTGGCACCAAAGACATCATGTTGTAAATGCTTGGTCCCTGAAGTCTTGAATCCGTTTCTAAAAGAACAACATTCTGTGATGTCTGATTTCTATACCTGGGCTTCAGTTTTCACATCTGTAAAACCAACAGCTGGGCCTCTTTCACCTCTGGCACGTTCCAGGAGGGGAGCAGGACTGATTTGTGCACCCAGTGTCCTCAGAGCAGGGCCCAGCTGACTGTCTGCCCCTCTGGCCCCGCCCCCACCCCAGGCGATGAGAACACCACCTGTCTGTGCCTCAACGCCACTGTGTGTGCGGCCTTCCGGAAGGGCTACCTGATGCTGTTCCCCTTCAGCACCGAGTACTGCCTCATCTGCTGCGCCGTGCTGTTCGTCATGTGGAAGAATGTGGGCCGCCGCCTGGCACACCACGCGGGCGGCCACCCCAGCACCCCGCCCTTCCACCTGCACGGGGTCATCTTCGGGCCCTTGCTGGGTCTGCTGACACTGGTGGCAGGCGTGTGCGTCTTTGTGCTCTTCCAGATCGAGGCAAGTGGCCCTGCCATTGCCCCCCAGTACTTCAGCCTCTACTATGCCTTCTATGTGGCCGTGCTGCCCATCATGAGCCTGGCGTGCCTGGCGGGCACGGCTATCCATGGGCTGGAGGAGCGGGAGCTGGACACACTCAAGAACCCCACCCGCAGCCTGGATGTGGTGCTGCTGATGGGCGCCGCGCTGGGCCAGGTAGGCATTGCCTACTTCTCCATCGTGGCCGTGGTGGCCACCCGCCCGAGTGAGTCGCTCAACCGCCTGATGCTGGCCTACTCGCTGCTGCTCATCCTGCAGCACATTGCCCAGAACGTCTTCATCATTGAAGGCCTGCACCGCCGCCCAGTCTGGGAAGCAGCTCCCGAGGGCTCATTGGGGAAGGGAGAGGCCCAGCCTCCCCGCAGGGGCTCCCTGCTGGAGCTGGGCCAGGACCTCCGGCGGGCCTCGCTGGCCTACATTCACTCCTACAGCCACCTCAACTGGAAGCGACGGGCACTCAAGGAGATCTCTCTCTTCCTCATCCTCTGCAATATCACAGTGAGTAGCTGGGCTGGGAGATGTAGGGGGTGGAGCTGGCCAGACAGACCCCAAAACCTCACTAAGGAAGGGATGGATCAAGGACACATACCTTTTTCCAGCCAGCTTGATGATTCTTGAAAGTATCCCCCAGCTTCCTACAGGGTGCCGGGCATGAATGAATGTGCCAAGCACATAGCTCAGTGCTCCTTGCAAACAAATATATAAGATTTCTATCCTCCAGAAGCTTACTGTCTAGTCGGAGAGACACTGGCGAACTGATTAGAGAATTACCACTGAATTCACTCAAAGAGATCAGAAAGTAACTGATTTTCTAAGCACTCCCTAGTAAAAGATATTGGTGATGACTGCCCAGCTTCTGGTAGCTGCTGAGTCCCAGGGCTACTTCTTCGTGCCCTGCCCCTGCGCCTCGTTGACTCATCACAGTAACCCCATGCAAGAGGCGCAGTTACTATCCCATTTGGCAGATAGGAAACCGGGGCTTTGGTTGTTGGACCTGCCCACGGCAGTGCCGAGACAACTCAGGATTGTTTGACCCAAGGAATAAAACCTCTGGTCCAGGCAGAGAACAAGTCATAAATTGGGTTTAAAGTATGTCAGGAGCTCAGGGAGGGAAATGAGGGTCTGAGTGGTCAAGGAAGGCTTTGTGAAGCTTTGATCCAAGCCTTGAGGAATGGGCAGAATTTGGACAAGAAGGTAGGAGCAGAAGAGTGGAGCTGCAGCTAGGTCACAGGGAGCCCAGTTTGACACAGCAGGTCGCATGCTGGGAATTCCTGCAGCACAGCTGCACAGCTCATGTGGCGGCAGCCTGTGGTCTGCAGTCTCATAGTCCACCTGCAGTTCAGGCTGGCCCCAGATGAGACACACAGATGGCCGAGGCCTTCTGGGGTACAGGGTGAGGAAGATACGGGGAAGAGCAGTTCGCTCTGAAAGCCCAAGGGTTGGGGGCAGTGCTGGAGGAGCGGCAGGTTCTGGGCCTGCCTCCCCTGGGCTGGGGACCTTGGGTACAGGGAGGCCCCTCCCCTACTGCACACCTCCTGTCCCTCCAGCTGTGGATGATGCCTGCATTTGGCATACACCCGGAGTTTGAGAATGGGCTGGAAAAGGATTTCTATGGCTACCGGACGTGGTTCACCATCGTCAACTTCGGCCTGCCTCTGGGAGTCTTTTACCGCATGCACTCTGTGGGAGGGCTGGTGGAGGTCTACCTGGGGGCCTGAATCTGCCCAAGAAACTCACCCCAGCAGAACCCTAAAGTACCAGGGCTGGGGAAAATGTCACCCCCAGTTGCCAAGCAGATGCCTCATTCCAAGAGGTGCAGGGCCCAGCCTGGGGCTCCCAGAGCCTCCCTCTCCCAGAGCCTCACTGAGTGAAGAGGAGGGCAGTGCCAGTAGCCCAAGATCATGGGTGGGGCACTGAGTTTGTGATGCCCATGCCCCTTGCCCTCCCGTCACAATCAGTAAGCCCAGGGTGCACCCCAGAAGCCTGGCGGGGGGCCCCCTCCCAGTTGTTCTCTGGGATAGTCAGACCTCAATAATGGGGCCTGGGGAGTTTGGAGGCCTCAAGGGTCAGCCCCTTGCTGTGGGAAGGGCACACAGTCCAAGCGTGGCCCAGGACACCCTAGGAACTCAGAACTTGGCCAGCAGCCCTGCCCCTTTCCCCACACAGCCTGTCTCCTAATGAGCTCATTAATTAGCTGCCAGGCAGAGCCCAACAGCTCTCCTGCTGCATAAACCCTGTTTGTTTGATCAATACTATTCAGGCTTGGTGGCATTTGTTTCCAGGGACAGAGGTGGGAAAAGATGGTCCCCCTGTGCAGGGCTGTGGGGCTGGGATGTGGCTGGGACAGTCCCATTCCTGGGCCGGGGTGATCTAAGCCAATCTTTCCCTTGTCCAATCCAAGGGAAGGGCTGAGAAGGGCCACCCAGCACACACTCTCTCTGGGGCAGAGCTCTAAGTGACTTTCTGTAGCTGGCTCACCATAGAGGTCATGGGCCCGCCTGATCCTCCAAGCCTATAGGTGGGGCAGGGAGGGGACAGCAGCACTGACGGCCCATCCATCTCCCTGAGCCCAGAGCAAACAGCGAGCTGTGCCCAGGGTGAGGCCCTGCAATGAGGTTCTGCCCTCCTCCTCACCCCCTCCCTTGCACTGGCAAGTACTGGGACACTGCTCGGGTCCCCCCCAACCTGGGCTCGGTCTCTGTGGTGCCTGAGGCAGCCCCCTGGCCCCTCCTGGGTGTGCTTTCTCTCTGACTGGCCACAGCCCAAGGGCCCAAACCTCAGGAAGTTTCTCACCCAAGGAAGTGACAAAGCTGGCCTCAGTCATGCACTAAAGGCCCTATGGGGACTGACTCTGGGGTGCAGAGTCCCCAGCTCTCCTGAAGATAAGAGCCATGTCCTGACCCTTCCCCTCCAAGCACAAAAAGGCAGAGCGTGAGGGAGGTTTTATTGTGTAAAGAGGCCGATTGTACAGAGCGAAGATTGTACTGACACAAGTGGGGTAAGGGGAACCCAGCGGCCTGAGCTGGGGAGGGTGGAATCCCCCCCATGCAGGCAGCAGGCCAGTCAGGGAGGACTGGGAAGGAAGGAGATAGGAGAAGGAATACAGCAGGAGACGCTCCACACCCCATTCCAAACCCCAAGAACACAGGAGGGGCCCAGTCCGGCTTTTGCAGTCTATAGGAAGGAGCAGCCTGGCTGTGCCTGGAACAGGTGACTCCCCTTCCCCTGCCAGGTGCCTCAAGGGAAAGCCCATGGCTCCTTGGGCAAACCCATTGAGCACAGTGACCTGGTGGCTTCTGGGGGTAGGTGGACAGTGAGGGATGTGTCCTGAAAGGGGCATCAGAGAGTGGGGGCTATGGTGGGACCTGCAGCCCTGGAGACAGGAGGCTCCTGTGAGTCCAGCCTGGGGTGTGGAGGTCAGAGCTGGTTCACAGCATCCCAGCCACAGGGGACCTCTGGGGCCTGCCACCCAGGACAGCCACTCAGCTGTGCCTGATCATGGTAATTTAAAGCTCAGAACGGTGGGTCTGGGGAAGCGTCAGGGACCAGGAACCTGGCTCCCCTCAGCCCCAGCCCCATGCAGGTTTGGTCCTCACACCCGCTGGATTTCAAACAGCTTCACATCGGTGTCGTACCAGACAGGGGGGTCCACATTCCTGTAGAGGGAGTGGTGGGGTCACCCTGGTGCTGAAGTGCCTTTTGGGAAAGATGCTGGGGAGGAGCTAGGTGGCAGTGACGCCCAAACCACCCCCTCTAGCCTCCAGCTAGGTGGCACAGATGCCTAAACCAACCTCTCCAGCCTGATGTCCCACCCTGGGCACTGGGTGCCCACCCTCAAGCAGATAAGACCACCTTGGTTGGCTGTCTTGACATTAACCCCACCACAGACGGTGGGAACCAGAGCTGAGGGCCCTGTGAGCCCTGCTGGGCAGGCCTTAGGTGGGCACCAGACCTGCCCCTGGGGCCCACCTCAGGTAGATGATGCCCCACATGTAGGTGCGGAACCACATGGCCGTGCCCGAGTTGGCCTGGTACTTGCGGATGAGGATGGGGTGGGGCACGGGCAGCAGCCCCACCAAGGTGCCATGCTGCAGGAACCTCAGGATCTCTGACTCGTCCGTCAGGCCCCTAGAGAGAAGGGAGGGTTCTCCAGCATGAGCCCCAGGTCTAGGAGGGCAAGGGCTCACCCGGGACACACCCTCACTGGAGCCTGGGCTAGCCTGCCCCAGAGCCCCCACCGCCCCACCCTGGGCGGACTCACTTGTCAATGCAGATCTTCTCCACCTGGGGCACTAGCACCTGCAGCAGCCTCATGATGGTCTGCAGCGGCAGCTTCGACTTCCAGGACAGGACCTGGAGGAGGGTGGAGCCTGCTGGGACTATGGGACAGGCCTGCCCGTGACCCAGAACCACAGGTGCCCCGAGGCAGGAAGCATCCTCTCTCCCCATAGCAAGGGCCTGGCACCAAGCAGGCCCGTGAACAGAAACCACCGTTAATGGTGAGGGTCGCAACCCTATTAACCACCTTCCATAGGCCGGACACTGCCACATGCCTTTCTGTCCCCTTTAGCTCTTACAACAGTATGATCAGGCAGGGATGGAAATCATCCTAATTATACATGGGGTATGACCCCATCTCTGGCAAAGGGCCTGTGTTGGGAAGCTGGGGAGATGAGGATGGGCCACACAGGCAGGGTGGCATCAAACAGGCCCGTGAACAGAAACCACCATTAATGGTGATACCCACCCCTGTTCCAGCACAGTCAGTGATGATCTCGGGAAACACACAGGAAGTGGGTACACGACTCAGGGAAGTCAGGAAGGTGGATTTATTAGGGAAGTTAGCAATGTATGCAATGGGAGCGTAATCCTGCTGGGGAATTCTGGCAGGCAGTGTAGATGGAGGAAGCGACTAAGCCAGAGAGATGCCAAACACACAGGAAAGTCAACCAGCCCGAGCGTGAGCCTGAGGCCAGCTCCCAGGCCAGAGTCCGAGGATGCAGTCTCATCCATGTCTTCACTGAGCTGTTCCAGGGCCACCTCAGTGCCATCTTCCTGAACCCCAGCACCCGGCTCCTGCAGCACAGTGTCCTCACCCACTCTGATGTTGGACTCCATTGTCCACTGGTTGACGTGTTGGACAGTCGCCGCTGCTCCCTCCATGCCTGGCTGGGCTCCTGGTCCCCAGAAAGGAATGGGGGTGAGTGATGGAAGGAGAGGATACAAGGTACAGGTAGAGGGTAATGAGCTCTCCCCACTGACTGCAGCAGGGGGAGGGGTCACTCCCAACAGAAGAGAAGGCCCAAGGCCCAGCCCATCACCCTTTGCCCTGGGCCCCGGCTCTAGCCCAGCCCAGCCCAGTGACGGGTTCAGGACCAGGGGCTGACAGGGCAGGCAGGGTAAAGGCCAGATCAGATAAGGCTGATGGATGAGGAACCTGAAGGCCAAGGCCTTTACCATGACCAATAAACAAGGGAGGGGTCTGTGAAAGGCCCCAAGAGTCAGCAGTACCAACTCTGATGCCCAGGGTGCCTGCTCCCCTGTCACAGGTAACCCCACAGTGCCCTAGCCCAGCCCACACCATAGGCCAGGGAGGAAGGGATGGCCCAGCCTCACCCCGTTCCAGGAGTCTCTGTCACCTACCCCCTCAGCAGGGCTACCATCTGCCGAACTTTGCTGGGCCTCAGGCTCCAGGGACCGCAAGGTGCCATCCTCTGACACCTGGGACTTCTCTGTCAGCTTGTCAATGCCTAGGTGGGCATGGTAGGAGTGAGGACCCCTACCACAGTCGTGAGCCCCCTCTCCCCTCCACTCACCTTAGATGCTCTGTGTTATGTCTGATCCCGACCCCCACCTGTGTCCACCCCTCCCAGAGCCCACACCCAACACCTCCACCCCACCTGTGTGGCCCATCCTCATCCCCCCAGCTTCCCAACGCAGGCCATGCCCCTTGCCAGAGATGGGGTCATAACCCAGAGACCATGCCCAGCCCTGACCCCTCCAACCCACCAGCAACAGACCTGGGGTGGCCACCAGACTGGCCTTGAGGGTGCCAGGCTCTGCAGGGGCGGCAGGGCGGGACCCCTCCATGGAGGCGCCCTCCTGGGAGCCTGTGCGGGACAAGGACTCAGGCGTCTTTCGGCGCCGCTGCAGGGCCTTGTGGATGGCAGGTGGGTCGGTGGGCAGGTTGGCCAACTGGTGGAAGACGCTGCGCTTGCGAATGATGGCGTAGACCAGGTTGGAGTTTCCTGTGGGGAGGGAACCAGGACAGTGTCTTCCCCAGAGGCAGGAGGTAGGTGGAACAGGGAGCCCCGCAGAGGGTACCAGGGCAGAGCTGGGCAGACCTTCGTGCCACCATGCGTAACCATCCCAGGGTGTTATGTTATGGGAAAACAGCATCTGACCTGAGCTCCACATAACTGCCCTCTGGGACCAGCAAGACCCCTCACAACACAGCACCCAGGAAAAGAGGGGTAGGCCCCAGAGCGGCCTGGCCGTGTCCACTCCAAGCCAGCTGTGAAATATTTTGACTCTCCCTGAGCCAACTGGCCCCAGAGGAGTCCGGGAGGACCACACTGAGAGCGCCTCTCTTCCAGCCCTCCCTCCCCCAGCTCTCAGGGCCAAATACCTTTCGAGGCCTTCTGAGCTTACATCCACCCCTCTGATCCTGCCTCACACCACACTCTTCTGCTCATAGTTCAACACCTCACAGGGCACCTGCCCGTTGTCCCCTCCTGATCCTCCACAGTGCTTTCC